AATGGTCGTTCATAAGGGTTTCCATACATTCCATAGGGACCATACGGAAGAACTACTGGTGGAGAAGAAACATTTTCTTTAGTTCCATCGACTCTATTTAAATGCATTGTTTCACCTTTCATCTGGTCATTAAAGTCTTTTGCGTGTTTTGCAAACTCATCGTCCTTTCCTAAAGCATTTTCTGACTCAGTCGCAACCAAATTGGATGCTTTATTTATGAGCCCTATTTTATTTAATCTTAACTTCTTTGCAACCCAGCCTCCAATCTTTCCTTTATTTGCATCTAATGTCTTCGAAACTCTTCCTCCACTCATTTTATTTACTGCGTCATAAGCTCCAAGTGCTTTTGCTCCAAATGCTAATGCTTTTGTTCCCATTGCGCCTAAAGCTGCCCAAGCTACCATTTACACCATATTAAAATCATCTCTCTTCAATATTATCTCATAAAAGTTCTCTTTACTGGAGAAAGTCAATGAAACATAAGCGTTCTCACGGGCTTCGCCCTCACCACTTCGGTCTACGACCTCAGGACTCAAAGAGTCCGTTTGCGGTCTATCTAACTTCTTTCTTATCTCATCTATACGCTTCAAAATGTCTGAACAATTGCTAACATCTTCTACAACAGTTATTTCATCATGAATGACCTTCAAGAACAAGCTCATTTAATATGCTATTAAAATCATCTCAATAATGAGTCCATCCTTTCCATCTTTAGGTAGCACAACATCTTTCATTGAAGAAGGTTCAACAAGTCTTATGTTAAACTTACTGACAAAGTTTGTTATACTATAATGCTTCGGCGGCGAATACATGTAGTTTGAAAGACATAATATAGATTCTTCAGCAAATTCACTTATACTGGATTTTATAACAATGTTCTCACGAGACCAAACGCCACCAATTGACAATCTTGTAAGTAATCCTGCTGAGCCTTCAACTGTAAACGTCGATGGTAACATTCCACGAAGGTCATCTATTGACATCGTTGAGTCACTGTATTTAAATATTTTCTTAAAGCAATCGTCATTATCTAACCATGCAATAGCTTTGAAGTTTTCATTCGAATATACATCTGCTTCATTAAATGTAAAACCTGACTTCTTTGCAGAGATGACTTTAAAATCTATTGAGTTTGTTTCAAAATTATATGCTATGGTAACTTCTGAAGGTAATGGATGTCCTTCCGCAGTCAGTTGTTCTCTCACTACCGTTTGAAGCTTTGTGTTAAAAACTTTCATGTCATCTCCTGTGTCTAGGTTCACATACACAGCAACAGGAAAACTATCTTGCTTCTTTGTTTCATCATTATACCTCAAAACATTAAAGTTCTTCAATAATATTGTTCTTCCTGCTGGAATACTTCTAACTTGTCTTATTTCAATAGCTTTCTCACCTCCTACATACTCTACCCAGTGTCTTGGATATTCATAAGTATACTGACTTTCTTGAATTTTGGTAGGTTTCATCATAACGTGTTCATAGTATATCTTTATACTCTTGTCAGTTAGACTCGGTGCTATGTTCTGAATATTTCTGACTTGCATTTTTAATGAAGATAAAATGAAGCATTTAATACATGACGTAGATGAAGACATGAATGAAAGCAGTGAAAAGCTCAACAGTTCTCTCATTCTTCCTTTCAGTAAAGATTATGAGTTCTGTTCAAATGGTGTGTATTTCTATTGTGGAAAGATGGGTTCAGGTAAGACATTTAACCTCATTCGTCATATACTCATAACAGAACGTTTAGGAAATGACTCTTACTATGACCAAATCATTATATCAGCAACTTCAGACTCTATGGATTCAACAGCGAAAACATTTATGTCAAAAGTTCAAGCCTCTGTCGTTAAAGTTCCAGACAGTGAACTCATTGAATTTCTTCAACGTTACATTCGACGTAAGAGAAAATATTATGCCATCGTAGAGTTCATACAGTCAGGAATGCAAAAGACTTCAGAAGAGATGGAAAGAATTATTGACAAACACCACTTACGTCAATACTCAGGAGTTTACGATATGAAACGACTTACAAACTACATTCTGTTCAAAACTTTCAAAATACCCCTTCAAAAAGTATCCTTCAACACTCTGCTCGTTTGTGACGACTTCGCCGGAAAAGGTTTAGTGTCAAAACCAGACTCACCATTAGCTAACATCATATACTAAAGTCAGACATTACCACTTAACTGTAGGCAATACTTATGCAAACATGGAGGTTTTTAGCTTTAAACATAAAACGTCTCATAACTGACTTCGTTATCTTTCAAGGTTCTCACGTTATGATATTGAACTCATTTGGAAACAGTCAGGTATAACATTACCTTTTGAAGAAAATTTGGGAAGCATATAAGTCTCTCATCTCTCCTCGTTCATACCTTGAGATTCATATCATGACTAATACCATTAAAGTCAAAAATATTCCATGGGAACGACCAACATTGTTTTTAAGTTTAACCTTCAATTGACTGATGGTAAACAAATTCCATGCATCTCTGTCGCCATTTCTGTTATATTTTTGCTGTCATTCATATCATCCACTTCCCCATCCGTTAGCTTTTGAGGATATGCGTTAGAATAGCTGTTCTTAAATGAAGGCTTTTCACCTTTGAGAGCATAAACTCTATAACTTTCTGCATACTTTATGTTTGAACCTCCTGAGCCATCATTGACATAAATTTTTATAGGCTTCCACCCTTTGTTCATGTTCCTGCTTCTTCCCTTTGCTCTTTTGTTCAGTAGTTCTACATCTTTATACACAGCTCCTGTCTCAGTGAATTCAACAATATTTTCATTCGTTAGCTTTACATTCAAACCCTTGTCGAGTATATTGTCATTTCATACATATAAAAGGTTTTTATTCTATATGAAATGAGAAGCAAATCCATCTTAGCTGGTGCCGTTAATGTTCCAATTGAACCAACATCAAATGTTGACTCACGAACGACAAACAATATTGTCATAAAGAATTATATCAGAGTGTTTGAAAGAAAAAGAACCAGAACTTAAGTCGGTGAATTTAAACACAGCTTCAAACGCTAACGCTACATCAGATGTTAAGTTAGAGTATCCACCACTGGACCAAATTCTTCAAGAGAAGCCAACGACAACCCTTACACAAATGTTCAAAAAAATCCTTCAGATACGTAGACCATTACCTTCTTCAGTTATACCAAACAATTTTACTCAAAGACGATAAGAAGCTTTTGATAAATCTTATAAGTAAGAACCAAATAATTCTAACAAAGGAGGACCTTGAAAATGTTATATCACGAATAACAGGGAAACAATGTTGTCATGACTATCTCGACCCTGAAATCGAATGCTGTGGTCAAACGCCACCATTCATGAAATAGGTAACATCCGCATCATTGAAACACCAGGAACTACAGGAGTTGAGTTTAAGTATAAATATTCGAACGAGTATACAAAACTTTCAACAGAATATAAACTTTGTTTGAAATATGTTTTAGTAAATTAAAGCAATTTGTAATATCTATCCAAAACTTCTTCAACAGTATCGAAACTCATCTTCATAATGCAAACCTAATCTTATTGACTTGGTGCAGTTTTCACTAACACAATATAGCGCTTTGCGCTCGGCGCCTTTGACGCCTTTTTCTGTTCTCTTGACTGACATAACTAATTCATTTGTTTCATCAAACAGCAACAACCAAAGTTCATGACCTAATACATAACATTCATACTTTATATTTTTAGCTCTGAGTTCTCTTGTAAGCTGTTGCATTTAATAAATTTTCTAAAAATCAACTTCAACAGTCATTCGCACTGGTGCTTCAGTTCTACAGCTTCTCCTTGAAAGTCAACAAGTCTGAATTGCATGTCTTTCAAATTATGAGGACTAATGCGAACCCATTTACCTAAATGAGTTGCTATGACAGGAACGTTTGGAATGAACATTGAATTGACTGCATAACAGAAGGATTTATATTCTACTGAACCTTTACTATTAACTCCTGAAATACCTGTGACATTAGCTATTTTAGACTCAATGTATAAACAATTACCATAACATACGTATGGAACAGATTTCATCTCAATCGTTTTGTCAACACTTTTCAAAGGAAATGTCATATGGTATGCACCCAGAAGCAATTGAACTCTATGACTCATTCGTGTTATCTTAAACTCCTTTGCATAATTGAACTTCAAAACTCCTGCAATAAGTTTAACATTCATTAAGTTTTCTTCGTTATCCTTGTTTATTGTAGTATTTATGAGCGCATTTAACACTCCAGCTAATGTTTCCATCTTATATTCTACATTATTGTGAAATCTTATTTCGTGCTTCTTTCCATCTATTTCAAACTCCATGAAATCTGTTTCATCTGTTATAACGAATGAAGCGATAGTATTGAAGTCAACCATTCTGAATGCAAGTGGCTCATTCTGTAGACCTAAGTTTGTTTGTAGCTTTACTGTCCCGTATTCGTTTGGGTCTGTACTTTGCAAATAGAACAACATTTTATTCTCATTAAAATATGACTATTGCTGCATATGCGTATGAAGCTGACAGAGCTAAACGTTTATATTTTGGTCAATACTCTCTCACACTTACTGACAAATATATTGTTATTTCTGATGGAAATACTGAGAAATACATAACATGGAAGGACTATGAAAAGTTTGACCCTATTTTAACTCCATGTACAATGCCTTTCATTGTAAATGGAGAAGTTGTCATGAAGAACGACACAACAGTATATAAGTCTGTTCATGAAGCATTAGAATATATGTTGAATCATAACCCCGAAATATTTGACCCAAGCACTACACCATGTGCAATGCCTTTTATTAAGGACGGTGAAATCGTAAGAGTTCCGGATTCAACGGTTTATACTGCTGTTCAAAACAGTTTACAAAACATTTTAGCGAATATCTTTAATTCAGAAACTACAGAAATAAAATTACCATATATAACAGATGCTAAAGAAATTAAATCAAAAACGACAACATTATTTACGTCACTTAATGATTTAATGACTTATATCATTAATATTCCTGCACCAACTACAGCATTTGATCCAAACTCGACGGTTTGCAGTGTACCTTTCATAAAGGACAGTTCATTAATTACTTTAAGGGATTCGACAGTAAATGAATCATTAAAGGCGTCATTAATGAAAATCATTGATTTTAACTCATTCATGAATACATATAATTCATTCATTAATGTTTCATATGCTTCTAAAGAAGGTGAGCCAAAAACTATTGATAAAGCGGTGTATGAAATAAAAGCATCAACGACGAAATTGAATTCGTTAACTTTTGACGGTGATAGTTTCGTTAATGACATAACATCGGGGAAAACAATTTTAACGAAAGAATATTTAAAATCTCATGTTAGTGAGTTCGTTGAAATTGAAAAAGAAGGCGGAATTAAGTTCGATCCACTGAATTTCATTTTCAGCTTAGCGAATGCAGGTATTAATTTTGCTGAATGGACAACAATACAGAGTGAAATAAACGCAATATGGACGTTTTTGGGGTCAAAAGCGGGAATGGGTGAGCTTGTAAATGCTGCAAGAACATTAGGTGAAACAGGAAATTTTGTAGATGGTTTTAAAAGACTTGTTTCAAATGTTTTAACAAACACAAAGAAATTATTTAGATATACCGTACATAACGGACGGATTTTCGAACAGGTAGCAACAAACCCTCCGGTTATGGCTGCGTTGATGATGGTTAGAGATATAAAACCACGTAACGACGGGAACGAAGAACATGAACAACAGAGCCCAACGGGCTCAGAGCCACATAGTGGCGAGGATACTGGTCGGGTTATTCAAGACATTAAAAACGTGTATCCTGAAGTTATTGATTTATTTAGAGGAGTTAATGATTCAATTTCAAAACATTCTATAACCCTCGATGAAGAGAATAAATTAACAGATTATATATTCGTCATTATTGCAGAATTAATGAAGAGAATAAATGAAAAAGGAATTGGTGATATCATTAATGTCAGCGATGTAATGATGAAAAGAAATTTTGACTCATTATTTACAAAACCGAAAACAGAATATAGTCTTTATGACGTAATTACCGAATTAATGAAAAAGATTAATGATAATAAGAGTTCTGGCGGAAGAGTTGAATTAGAAGTGAATGATGTTAATGAGAAATTAGCCGAAAAAGCAGATAAAAACCACGTTCATTATATAACTTCAGACGAACAGATTATAACGGACTACCATGGATATTTAACACGAAGTGATGAAGTGAAGACGGAAGATGTTAATGAAAGAAGATATAAATACATTCGTGCTAAAGGTTATGACATAAGCTGTACTGTACAGTATGACACGGGTAAAGCACCAGAAGCATTTAGTTATAACGATGAAATTTATGCCTCTACTTTCTCTGTTAACGGTGTATTAGTTGAACCAAGATTTACTTTGAGAGTTAAGGCAAAAATAACGTTTGAAGATGCTATTAAAAGTAAAGCTGACAAAGTTGAACTCGAAGCAATGAACAAAGTTTTGAAATCTCATAAACACAATATCTCCGATATAAATGAACTTCAAGCTACATTAGACAGTAAAGCCGACAAGAACCATACAAACGAATCCTTCACTACTATTAGAGCAGACGATGTAATATTGAACTATACCCTTGGTTCAAGTGCACCTTTAGAAAATCCAAGTACAAGCGTAAAAGATACACTAAACTCCTTAAATAGTAAATGTATGAACATTGAAGGTCATGTCAGAAACTTTGAAGCACATGAACTACCAGCAATGTTAGATAAGAAAGCAGATAAGAACCATACACATAAATCCTTCACAACTGTTGGTATAGAAAGTATTGAAGGAACGGTTGAAGAAACTGGTGGGGATGCATTATATTGTAAACCTCCTAACTTTCCACAAGGTTTAACATCGGATGACGACATAACGACGATGAGAAACATTAGATGTAAAGATGTTTATGTCATGGAGGATGAAAATAATGTTAAATTCACTGCTCAAGATTTATATGATAAGAAAGCAGACAAAACAGAGCTTCAAACATTAAAGACAGAAATACTTCAAACATTATATCCTATAGGCTCTATTTATACGTCAATGAACTCAACAAATCCAGCAACAGTTTTAGGTTTTGGTACATGGCAGCAGATTGTAGACAAATTCTTATACTGTGCTAACTCTTCAAAGCAAACAGGAGGTTCGAAGAAAATTACTGAAGCAAACCTTCCACCGCACACTCATACAGGAACTACAAACACAACAGGTAGTCATTCACATTCAATAACAAAAAGAGGTTATACAAATCTTGCAGCAGGTTCGGATAGACAGGGAATGCATAGATATGATATTTCAAGTGACCCAGTAGATTCAAGCGCAGGTATTTTCTGTGGAACCGCAGGAAATCATTCACACACTTTCACAACAAATCCAACAGGCTCGGGTGCAGATTACATGCCACCATTTGTGACTGTATTTGCATGGTATAGAGTTCAATGAACGCGCTTGAGCCTAGAATAAAATCTTTAACTTTACATAAATGAGCTTGAAAGAAGTATTCGAACAACATCCATGGAGGTCTTTTAAGAAATTCAATGAAGCTGCAAAGAGTTGGGGATTTACTAACAGAGCTGAAGTGAAAAGGTTCTTTGACAAAAATGTTGTACATCAAACAAAAATAAACCCTTACGACTACTTTTTACCAATTTACTCCAACACTCCTGACGCATACCAATTTGACACTCTCATTCAAAGCAGAAAAGGAGGTCATAAACCATTCCTCATCTTCATTAATGTTAACACTCGTAAAGCATATGCATATCCAATGAAAAATAAAGGAACTCGTGAAGTGTTAAGAGTTTTACAAAAGTTTGTAGCAGAACATAACCCAAGTACTTTAACATCAGACCAAGACAGTGCATACCTCAGCAACGAAATCACAGAATTTCTCATTAAGCATAACATAACTCACTACACTACTGAAGACCATAACCATAACATACTCGGTATCATTAACCGCTTCATAAGGACTCTCAGAGATTTAAACCAAGAGCGAGACTTTACCGAAGAAACAATGAAACATTTCATCGAAGTTTACAATTCCTCAACACATTCTACAACAGGACATACACCAAATTCAATGACACAACAACAAGAAGAAAAGTATATACAAAAGAAACGAAGCCAAACACAAAATATCAGAAATTCAACAAAATTTACCCTCATTCCTGGTACAAAAGTTCGTGTAGTTCTTGACGACAAACCGTTGACAAAGAAACGTTTAAGGTTAAGTCGAAATTATTATATCGTAGACTCTACGCAAGGTAATGGATATCTTATAAAAGCTGCTGACGACTCTATTGCGTTTTATCCTCGTCATAAATTAGTCGAAAGTAGTAATGGCAAACTTGCTGAAACCATTGACGAAGCAAAGCGAGGAGTGGTTATTGAAATACTTGGCTATAACACAAACGATGACACTTATAAAGTAAGATATGAAGGAGGCGTTGAAGATGTTATACCATCTAAGAACTTGAGAGAGTCGAAGCCAACACATCTGGGACCATTAGAGCGGGAGTACTGGAAAGACAAAAATATGCCAGAAAGAATAAGAAAATTCTTCTAAACTTTTTCGTTGGATGTAAATCAGACATGAATGAGAACAGTCATGTATTATTAATGTTTTCATAAATTTACACCAAAAATAATGTTTAGGTGAAGCGGTGAGATGTCACCTGTTTTTTCACCTGTTTTCTCACCTCAGCCGCTAAGCGGCGAGACCCAAAGGGTCTTGAATTTTTCATGTATTTTCACAAAAGACCAAAAATAATGTTTAGGTGAAGAGGTGAGATATCACCTGTTTTTTCACCTCAGCCGCTAAGCGGCGAGACCCAAAGGGTCTTGAATTTTCATGAATTTCCTTAAGATAGAAAAAATAATGTTAGTTTTATTTTTTTTATTTTTTTTATTTTGATGTAAAGATATGATTTCAACAATCGGCACAACAACAATTCAAGCCGCGAACGGCGGGACTCTGTCCACAACAACAGCACCAAACTCGTTAGTTATGAATCCTACGTCAATGTTGGTAGAAATGAAAAGCTTCATTCCTTCTTCATTTACTTTCGAAACAGAAATCCAGAAGATAAAGCAAGAACTTTTAACAAGTAATTTAGACTGTAGTGCGAAAGATGAAGAAAATGAAGAATATCTTTATGAAATGCAGGACATTATTGACCATTTGCCCAAATTGCCTGAAATCCAACAACAAAAACTAACCATTCCCGAATTTGACGAAATTGAAGTCAAAGCAACTGACTCAGTAGAAATAAAGAAGTTCATACGTAAAGTAAATTATGAATTCCTTGGTTTTCATTGCAACCATAAGGTTATGGACAAAGATTGCGACATGGTATATAAGAATATTTCTGACATATATAAATCTGGGGAGTTTAAGACCTACGATAACTTTGTTTCATTAGTTGCAAAATGTGTTTGGGAAATAAGAGATAAAGATAGAAGAGGTAAGGTATGGAATGAAGTTAGTATACATATCAAGGGTACGGCGGCACTGCACGCCTCCTTACCCATGATATGTGAATTTGACACTTTACAAAACCGTTAACGTATATTTTACAACACAAACAACAACACTAACTTAACCTTAAATATTTACAAAGCCGCCAACCACTTCACCTCACTAATGTAAAAAAAATAAACGTTCTCACTTACAAAAGGATTGCAACTCCTCCCATTGCTGTGCTTCATATAACAGCTCATAATCTTCTGACTCACTTTCTTCTTCATATAGGTCAAAATCACTGTCATAGTTTATACCTGTAAGTTTTGACAAAGCTAATGAAACACGCTTACCGTTTGTATCATATGCTTGTATAAACTTTCCATTATGCTTGTAGTCATAAACGCTCAAACTAACTTTACCCTTTCTCCCTCGTATCTGATAGAATGTATTTTCACGAGGAACGAAGAACAAATTCTTGAACTCATGACCGTTGTAGTTTGTTATCTCAATAGTTTTCGTCATTTATATAAAAATAAAATAAAAAATAAAATAAAAATAAACTTAAAATTAATGATATCACCACCCTCACACGTATGAAAACATAGCACAAAAATAAATTTAGGTGAAGAGGTGAAATCTCACCCGTTTTTTCACCTGTTTTTTCACCCTGTTGAATTCATTACTTTATAACTCTCTTCCTTGGTTTCTTTTTAGTTGCTTTCTTCACGTCTGTCTCCAGCTTAACTGTCTTTCTTCTTCGTCCGTAATGATACCAGTTACTTCCACCAGTCAATGGGTCAAATGGTCGTTCATAAGGGTTTCCATACATTCCATAGGGACCATACGGAAGAACTACTGGTGGAGAAGAAACATTTTCTTTAGTTCCATCGACTCTATTTAAATGCATTGTTTCACCTTTCATCTGGTCATTAAAGTCTTTTGCGTGTTTTGCAAACTCATCGTCCTTTCCTAAAGCATTTTCTGACTCAGTCGCAACCAAATTGGATGCTTTATTTATGAGCCCTATTTTATTTAATCTTAACTTCTTTGCAACCCAGCCTCCAATCTTTCCTTTATTTGCATCTAATGTCTTCGAAACTCTTCCTCCACTCATTTTATTTACTGCGTCATAAGCTCCAAGTGCTTTTGCTCCAAATGCTAATGCTTTTGTTCCCATTGCGCCTAAAGCTGCCCAAGCTACCATTTACACCATATTAAAATCATCTCTCTTCAATATTATCTCATAAAAGTTCTCTTTACTGGAGAAAGTCAATGAAACATAAGCGTTCTCACGGGCTTCGCCCTCACCACTTCGGTCTACGACCTCAGGACTCGCGTTTGCGGTCTATCTAACTTCTTTCTTATCTCATCTATACGCTTCAAAATGTCTGAACAATTGCTAACATCTTCTACAACAGTTATTTCATCATGAATGACCTTCAAGAACAAGCTCATTTAATATGCTATTAAAATCATCTCAATAATGAGTCCATCCTTTCCATCTTTAGGTAGCACAACATCTTTCATTGAAGAAGGTTCAACAAGTCTTATGTTAAACTTACTGACAAAGTTTGTTATACTATAATGCTTCGGCGGCGAATACATGTAGTTTGAAAGACATAATATAGATTCTTCAGCAAATTCACTTATACTGGATTTTATAACAATGTTCTCACGAGACCAAACGCCACCAATTGACAATCTTGTAAAGCAATCCTGCTGAACCTTCAACTGTAAACGTCGATGGTAACATTCCACGAAGGTCATCTATTGACATCGTTGAGTCACTGTATTTAAATATTTTCTTAAAGCAATCATCATTATCTAACCATGCAATAGCTTTGAAGTTTTCATTCGAATATACATCTGCTTCATTAAATGTAAAACCTGACTTCTTTGCAGAGATGACTTTAAAATCTATTGAGTTTGTTTCAAAATTATATGCTATGGTAACTTCTGAAGGTAATGGATGTCCTTCCGCAGTCAGTTGTTCTCTCACTACCGTTTGAAGCTTTGTGTTAAAAACTTTCATGTCATCTCCTGTGTCTAGGTTCACATACACAGCAACAGGAAAACTATCTTGCTTCTTTGTTTCATCATTATACCTCAAAACATTAAAGTTCTTCAATAATATTGTTCTTCCTGCTGGAATACTTCTAACTTGTCTTATTTCAATAGCTTTCTCACCTCCTACATACTCTACCCAGTGTCTTGGATATTCATAAGTATACTGACTTTCTTGAATTTTGGTAGGTTTCATCATAACGTGTTCATAGTATATCTTTATACTCTTGTCAGTTAGACTCGGTGCTATGTTCTGAATATTTCTGACTTGCATTTTTAATGAGATAAAATGAAGCATTTAATACATGACGTAGATGAAGACATGAATGAAACAGTGACAAACTTAACTTCTCTCATTCTTCCTTTCAGTAAAGATTATGAGTTCTGTTCAAATGGTGTATTTCTATTGTGGAAAGATGGGTTCAGGTAAGACATTTAACCTCATTCGTCATATACTCATAACAGAACGTTTAGGAAATGACTCTTACTATGACCAAATCATTATATCAGCAACTTCAGACTCTATGGATTCAACAGCGAAAACATTTATGTCAAAAGTTCAAGCCTCTGTCGTTAAAGTTCCAGACAGTGAACTCATTGAATTTCTTCAACGTTACATTCGACGTAAGAGAAATATTATGCCATCGTAGAGTTCATACAGTCAGGAATGCAAAAGACTTCAGAAGAGATGGAAAGAATTATTGACAAACACCACTTACGTCAATACTCAGGAGTTTACGATATGAAACGACTTACAAACTACATTCTGTCAAAACTTTCAAAATACCCCTTCAAAAAGTATCCTTCAAACACTCTGCTCGTTTTGACGACTTCGCCGGAAAAGGTTTAGTGTCAAAACCAGACTCACCATTAGCTAACATCATAACTAAAGTCAGACATTACCACTTAACTGTAGCAATACTTATGCAAACATGGAGGTTTTTAGCTTTAAACATAAAACGTCTCATAACTGACTTCGTTATCTTTCAAGGTTTCTCACGTTATGATATTGAACTCATTTGGAAACAGTCAGGTATAACATTACCTTTTGAAGAAATTTGGGAAGCATATAAGTCTCTCATCTCTCCTCGTTCATACCTTGAGATTCATATCATGACTAATACCATTAAAGTCAAAAATATTCCATGGGAACGACCAACATTGTTTTAAAGTTTAACCTTCAATTGACTGATGGTAAACAAATTCCATGCATCTCTGTCGCCATTTCTGTTAATATTTTTGCTGTCATTCATATCATCCACTTCCCCATCCGTTAGCTTTTGAGGATATGCGTTAGAATAGCTGTTCTTAAATGAAGGCTTTTCACCTTTGAGAGCATAAACTCTATAACTTTCTGCATACTTTATGTTTGAACCTCCTGAGCCATCATTGACATAAATTTTTATAGGCTTCCACCCTTTGTTCATGTTCCTGCTTCTTCCCTTGCTCTTTTGTTCAGTAGTTCTACATCTTTATACACAGCTCCTGTCTCAGTGAATTCAACAATATTTTCATTCGTTAGCTTTACATTCAAACCCTTGTCGAGTATATTGTTCATTTCATACATATAAAAGGTTTTTATTCTATATGAAATGAGAAGCAAATCCATCTTAGCTGGTGCCGTTAATGTTCCAATTGAACCAACATCAAATGTTGACTCACGAACGACAAACAATATTGTCATAAAGAATTATAGTTCAGAGTGTTTGAAAGAAAAAGAACCAGAACTTAAGTCGGTGAATTTAAACACAGCTTCAAACGCTAACGCTACATCAGATGTTAAGTTAGAGTATCCACCACTGGACCAAATTCTTTCAAGAGAAGCCAACGACAACCCTTACACAAATGTTCAAAAAAATCCTTCAGATAACGTAGACCATTACCTTCTTCAGTTATACCAAACAATTTTACTCAAAGACGATAAGAAGCTTTTGATAAATCTTATAAGTAAGAACCAAATAATTCTAACAAAGGAGGACCTTGAAAATGTTATATCACGAATAACAGGGAAACAATGTGTCATTGACTATCTCGACCCTGAAATCGAATGCTGTGGTCAAACGCCACCATTCATGAAAATAGGTAACATCCGCATCATTGAAACACCAGGAACTACAGGAGTTGAGTTTAAGTATAAATATTCGAACGAGTATACAAAACTTTCAACAGAATATAAACTTTGTTTGAAATATGTTTTAGTAAATTAAAGCAATTTGTAATATCTATCCAAAACTTCTTCAACAGTATCGAACTCATCTTCATAATGCAAACCTAATCTTATTGACTTGGTGCAGTTTTCACTAACACAATATAGCGCTTTGCGCTCGGCGCCTTTGACGCCTTTTTCTGTTCTCTTGACTGACATAACTAATTCATTTGTTTCATCAAACAGCAACAACCAAAGTTCATGACCTAATACATAACATTCATACTTTATATTTTTAGCTCTGAGTTCTCTTGTAAGCTGTTGCATTTAATATTTTCTAAAAAGTCAACTTCAACAGTCATTCGCACTGGTGCCTTCAGTTCTACAGGCTCTCCTTGAAAGTCAACAAGTCTGAATTGCATGTCTTTCAAATTATGAGGACTAATGCGAACCCATTTACCTAAATGAGTTGCTATGACAGGAACGTTTGGAATGAACATTGAATTGACTGCATAACAGAAGGATTTATATTCTACTGAACCTTTACTATTAACTCCTGAAATACCTGTGACATTAGCTATTTTAGACTCAATGTATAAACAATTACCATAACATACGTATGGAACAGATTTCATCTCAATCGTTTTGTCAACACTTTTCAAAGGAAATGTCATATGGTATGCACCCAGAAGCAATTGAACTCTATGACTCATTCGTGTTATCTTAAACTCCTTTGCATAATTGAACTTCAAAACTCCTGCAATAAGTTTAACATTCATTAAGTTTTCTTCGTTATCCTTGTTTATTGTAGTATTTATGAGCGCATTTAACACTCCAGCTAATGTTTCCATCTTATATTCTACATTATTGTGAAATCTTATTTCGTGCTTCTTTCCATCTATTTCAAACTCCATGAAATCTGTTTCATCTGTTATAACGAATGAAGCGATAGTATTGAAGTCAACCATTCTGAATGCAAGTGGCTCATTCTGTAGACCTAAGTTTGTTTGTAGCTTTACTGTCCCGTATTCGTTTGGGTCTGTACTTTGCAAATAGAACAACATTTTATTCTCATTAAAATATGACTATTGCTGCATATGCGTATGAAGCTGACAGAGCTAAACGTTTATATTTTGGTCAATACTCTCTCACACTTACTGACAAATATATTGTTATTTCTGATGGAAATACTGAGAAATACATAACATGGAAGGACTATGAAAAGTTTGACCCTATTTTAACTCCATGTACAATGCCTTTCATTGTAAATGGAGAAGTTGTCATGAAGAACGACACAACAGTATATAAGTCTGTTCATGAAGCATTAGAATATATGTTGAATCATAACCCCGAAATATTTGACCCAAGCACTACACCATGTGCAATGCCTTTTATTAAGGACGGTGAAATCGTAAGAGTTCCGGATTCAACGGTTTATACTGCTGTTCAAAACAGTTTACAAAACATTTTAGCGAATATCTTTAATTCAGAAACTACAGAAATAAAATTACCATATATAACAGATGCTAAAGAAATTAAATCAAAAACGACAACATTATTTACGTCACTTAATGATTTAATGACTTATATCATTAATATTCCTGCACCAACTACAGCATTTGATCCAAACTCGACGGTTTGCAGTGTACCTTTCATAAAGGACAGTTCATTAATTACTTTAAGGGATTCGACAGTAAATGAATCATTAAAGGCGTCATTAATGAAAATCATTGATTTTAACTCATTCATGAATACATATAATTCATTCATTAATGTTTCATATGCTTCTAAAGAAGGTGAGCCAAAAACTATTGATAAAGCGGTGTATGAAATAAAAGCATCAACGACGAAATTGAATTCGTTAACTTTTGACGGTGATAGTTTCGTTAATGACATAACATCGGGGAAAACAATTTTAACGAAAGAATATTTAAAATCTCATGTTAGTGAGTTCGTTGAAATTGAAAAAGAAGGCGGAATTAAGTTCGATCCACTGAATTTCATTTTCAGCTTAGCGAATGCAGGTATTAATTTTGCTGAATGGACAACAATACAGAGTGAAATAAACGCAATATGGACGTTTTTGGGGTCAAAAGCGGGAATGGGTGAGCTTGTAAATGCTGCAAGAACATTAGGTGAAACAGGAAATTTTGTAGATGGTTTTAAAAGACTTGTTTCAAATGTTTTAACAAACACAAAGAAATTATTTAGATATACCGTACATAACGGACGGATTTTCGAACAGGTAGCAACAAACCCTCCGGTTATGGCTGCGTTGATGATGGTTAGAGATATAAAACCACGTAACGACGGGAACGAAGAACATGAACAACAGAGCCCAACGGGCTCAGAGCCACATAGTGGCGAGGATACTGGTCGGGTTATTCAAGACATTAAAAACGTGTATCCTGAAGTTATTGATTTATTTAGAGGAGTTAATGATTCAATTTCAAAACATTCTATAACCCTCGATGAAGAGAATAAATTAACAGATTATATATTCGTCATTATTGCAGAATTAATGAAGAGAATAAATGAAAAAGGAATTGGTGATATCATTAATGTCAGCGATGTAATGATGAAAAGAAATTTTGACTCATTATTTACAAAACCGAAAACAGAATATAGTCTTTATGACGTAATTACCGAATTAATGAAAAAGATTAATGATAATAAGAGTTCTGGCGGAAGAGTTGAATTAGAAGTGAATGATGTTAATGAGAAATTAGCCGAAAAAGCAGATAAAAACCACGTTCATTATATAACTTCAGACGAACAGATTATAACGGACTACCATGGATATTTAACACGAAGTGATGAAGTGAAGACGGAAGATGTTAATGAAAGAAGATATAAATACATTCGTGCTAAAGGTTATGACATAAGCTGTACTGTACAGTATGACACGGGTAAAGCACCAGAAGCATTTAGTTATAACGATGAAATTTATGCCTCTACTTTCTCTGTTAACGGTGTATTAGTTGAACCAAGATTTACTTTGAGAGTTAAGGCAAAAATAACGTTTGAAGATGCTATTAAAAGTAAAGCTGACAAAGTTGAACTCGAAGCAATGAACAAAGTTTTGAAATCTCATAAACACAATATCTCCGATATAAATGAACTTCAAGCTACATTAGACAGTAAAGCCGACAAGAACCATACAAACGAATCCTTCACTACTATTAGAGCAGACGATGTAATATTGAACTATACCCTTGGTTCAAGTGCACCTTTAGAAAATCCAAGTACAAGCGTAAAAGATACACTAAACTCCTTAAATAGTAAATGTATGAACATTGAAGGTCATGTCAGAAACTTTGAAGCACATGAACTACCAGCAATGTTAGATAAGAAAGCAGATAAGAACCATACACATAAATCCTTCACAACTGTTGGTATAGAAAGTATTGAAGGAACGGTTGAAGAAACTGGTGGGGATGCATTATATTGTAAACCTCCTAACTTTCCACAAGGTTTAACATCGGATGACGACATAACGACGATGAGAAACATTAGATGTAAAGATGTTTATGTCATGGAGGATGAAAATAATGTTAAATTCACTGCTCAAGATTTATATGATAAGAAAGCAGACAAAACAGAGCTTCAAACATTAAAGACAGAAATACTTCAAACATTATATCCTATAGGCTCTATTTATACGTCAATGAACTCAACAAATCCAGCAACAGTTTTAGGTTTTGGTACATGGCAGCAGATTGTAGACAAATTCTTATACTGTGCTAACTCTTCAAAGCAAACAGGAGGTTCGAAGAAAATTACTGAAGCAAACCTTCCACCGCACACTCATACAGGAACTACAAACACAACAGGTAGTCATTCACATTCAATAACAAAAAGAGGTTATACAAATCTTGCAGCAGGTTCGGATAGACAGGGAATGCATAGATATGATATTTCAAGTGACCCAGTAGATTCAAGCGCAGGTATTTTCTGTGGAACCGCAGGAAATCATTCACACACTTTCACAACAAATCCAACAGGCTCGGGTGCAGATTACATGCCACCATTTGTGACTGTATTTGCATGGTATAGAGTTCAATGAACGCGCTTGAGCCTAGAATAAAATCTTTAACTTTACATAAATGAGCTTGAAAGAAGTATTCGAACAACATCCATGGAGGTCTTTTAAGAAATTCAATGAAGCTGCAAAGAGTTGGGGATTTACTAACAGAGCTGAAGTGAAAAGGTTCTTTGACAAAAATGTTGTACATCAAACAAAAATAAACCCTTACGACTACTTTTTACCAATTTACTCCAACACTCCTGACGCATACCAATTTGACACTCTCATTCAAAGCAGAAAAGGAGGTCATAAACCATTCCTCATCTTCATTAATGTTAACACTCGTAAAGCATATGCATATCCAATGAAAAATAAAGGAACTCGTGAAGTGTTAAGAGTTTTACAAAAGTTTGTAGCAGAACATAACCCAAGTACTTTAACATCAGACCAAGACAGTGCATACCTCAGCAACGAAATCACAGAATTTCTCATTAAGCATAACATAACTCACTACACTACTGAAGACCATAACCATAACATACTCGGTATCATTAACCGCTTCATAAGGACTCTCAGAGATTTAAACCAAGAGCGAGACTTTACCGAAGAAACAATGAAACATTTCATCGAAGTTTACAATTCCTCAACACATTCTACAACAGGACATACACCAAATTCAATGACACAACAACAAGAAGAAAAGTATATACAAAAGAAACGAAGCCAAACACAAAATATCAGAAATTCAACAAAATTTACCCTCATTCCTGGTACAAAAGTTCGTGTAGTTCTTGACGACAAACCGTTGACAAAGAAACGTTTAAGGTTAAGTCGAAATTATTATATCGTAGACTCTACGCAAGGTAATGGATATCTTATAAAAGCTGCTGACGACTCTATTGCGTTTTATCCTCGTCATAAATTAGTCGAAAGTAGTAATGGCAAACTTGCTGAAACCATTGACGAAGCAAAGCGAGGAGTGGTTATTGAAATACTTGGCTATAACACAAACGATGACACTTATAAAGTAAGATATGAAGGAGGCGTTGAAGATGTTATACCATCTAAGAACTTGAGAGAGTCGAAGCCAACACATCTGGGACCATTAGAGCGGGAGTACTGGAAAGACAAAAATATGCCAGAAAGAATAAGAAAATTCTTCTAAACTTTTTCGTTGGATGTAAATCAGACATGAATGAGAACAGTCATGTATTATTAATGTTTTCATAAATTTACACCAAAAATAATGTTTAGGTGAAGCGGTGAGATGTCACCTGTTTTTTCACCTGTTTTCTCACCTCAGCCGCTAAGCGGCGAGACCCAAAGGGTCTTGAATTTTTCATGTATTTTCACAAAAGACCAAAAATAATGTTTAGGTGAAGAGGTGAGATATCACCTGTTTTTTCACCTCAGCCGCTAAGCGGCGAGACCCAAAGGGTCTTGAATTTTCATGAATTTCCTTAAGATAGAAAAAATAATGTTAGTTTTATTTTTTTTATTTTTTTTATTTTGTATGTAAAGATATGATTTCAACAATCGGCACAACAACAATTCAAGCCGCGAACGGCGGGACTCTGTCCACAACAACAGCACCAAACTCGTTAGTTATGAATCCTACGTCAATGTTGGTAGAAATGAAAAGCTTCATTCCTTCTTCATTTACTTTCGAAACAGAAATCCAGAAGATAAAGCAAGAACTTTTAACAAGTAATTTAGACTGTAGTGCGAAAGATGAAGAAAATGAAGAATATCTTTATGAAATGCAGGACATTATTGACCATTTGCCCAAATTGCCTGAAATCCAACAACAAAAACTAACCATTCCCGAATTTGACGAAATTGAAGTCAAAGCAACTGACTCAGTAGAAATAAAGAAGTTCATACGTAAAGTAAATTATGAATTCCTTGGTTTTCATTGCAACCATAAGGTTATGGACAAAGATTGCGACATGGTATATAAGAATATTTCTGACATATATAAATCTGGGGAGTTTAAGACCTACGATAACTTTGTTTCATTAGTTGCAAAATGTGTTTGGGAAATAAGAGATAAAGATAGAAGAGGTAAGGTATGGAATGAACAAATAAGACCCGCTATGTTTGAGTTAAAGAAAACCATTGACGCTTTAGTTGTTCTAGCAGGTAAGGTTTCAGAATATAACGCAAAAATGAACCCACAATGTTCAAAATGTAAAGCAGCAATGAGGAAATATAACTACTCCGTCAAAGAGATAGAAAGAATGCGAAACGACTATGCAGACTTAAAGAAAGAAGCAGAAAAGCCAGCAGAAGATAAAATGAACATGTTAGAATTTCTTAATAAAAATTATCCAACAGCAGAAGATTTCCTTCTATCTGACGTCAAGAAGAAGTATAAAGAAACTTTCGGCATTGTTAAAACATTCGATGTACTGACAGAAGAAATAGAAGCTACGAAATTGTTTAGAATTTCAAATATACATCGTACAATTCATGTGAAACGCTTGTGAAAAAAGAGGTGAGAAAACAGGTGAAAAAACGGGTGATATCTCACCTCTCACCTAAATTATATTTTTGGTCATTTACACTCATTTACGAAGAAGTTATGACAAAAGCATTTACGAAGAAGTTATGACAAAGCTTCCACGAGAGAAAAGATTCCTCATTCGCTAAGGATTCCAAAAATGAAAAAATCGTTGATTTCGGCTGAGAAAAAACGGCAAAAACCCTTCTTCCACGGGAACAAAGAAATAAAGAAGAAATAAAGTAAATTTTTTATTTATTCCCGTGGAAGATAGAGCACTTTTATGACACTTTTTATTCACGACAAACAAGACAAACAAGACAAACAAAGAAAATAAGAAAATACGGCGCTGTCGCGGTTCGAACCACAGACTCTGACCCCTCCATAACACCACCTTAGACCACTGTGCTACGTAGCCTGTCGACATAAGATATTATAAATTGCATATTTGACGTAAATTTATTTCCATCTAGCTTCCCACCGCATAAGATATTCATACGTGTTTGTAAGACATTCATTAAAATTCTTTTCTATTGCATCTAATCTTGCGTTATTTTTTTCAATAGCTTGTCTGTATTCTTCATCATCTCCAGCAGTGTTTGGGTCTTCACGTTTAAAATATTCATTGTTAACCAATTTTTTATCTACAAATTTTATTAGTGTTTGATTCACTTCGTTATGATAACGGTCATATTCTTTCAATACGTAAGTGAAGACAAAATGCGTCGTACCTTCAATCTTAAAGCTTAAAGAACTTTCAACACAGTTTTGAGGGTCTGTCAGTGCGTCAATGAGATAGTATTCGAAGTCAGTCAATAATCTTTTTAAAGTCATTTCATACAGGATAAAATTTAATGTTGTGAAGAAATAGTGTTTAACACAGAAAAATAAAGTTAGTTTTTATTTTATTTATTTTTTTATCCTGTATGTAAAGACAGATATGTCAACATTAGAGAACACAACAACTGCTATCGTTCATGAAGCCATAAATGAAGAATACGAATACATACAGTATAACAAACAGTTACGTCTCATTCGTTCAGTCAAAGATGATATGTATCAAATGCAAAGTATAATGAACGCTCTTCGTTCTACAAAGCAAGCATATCATTGGTTTGAAAACCAACAGGCAAAAGAACTTTTAGAAGAATTTCCTCATATGATTGCTTCCCTCGGAAAACCGAGGGAAGAGATTCCGTACGAAAATCGCAAGAATTTGGCTCCTGGTTTGAAAGGTTATTATGTTCATAGACTTTTAGTAAATGCTGTAGCAATGTGGGCTTCACCTCGTTATGCTTGTTATATTTTCATGACATTTTGACAACAGTTCAGGAGGAAGGTAGTTATTAATTATTTTTGAATAACCGAAGGTGCTACCATGCTACCATGTGCTACCAGGTCATTTAACTTCTATGAAAAAGTGTGACAACACGACATTTTGACAACACAGCAGGATTAATGAGGAAGGTAGTTATGAATTATTTTTGAATAACCGAAGGTGCTACCATGCTACCATGTGCTACCAGGTCATTTAACTTCTATGAAAAAGTGTGACAACACGACATTTTGACAACACAGCAGGATTAATGCAAAAATAAATTCCAATCATACTTTATAAAGCTAGACCTTCAGGTCTCGCCGCTTCGGTCTGAAAGACCTTCAGGACTCAAAGAGTCCGTTAGCGGCTCATTTACAGGTATTTCATCATCAGTAAATGATTCCTCATTATCGTTTGGTTCAACCTGTTTATATAATCCTTTCATTTCTTCTTTCAAAACATAATACCATGTTTGTTTACCGTCTATTCTTCTATGTTTCCTATCACATTTATCCTTAATACTCATTTGAAAGTTTTTGTCTTTCATGTCTGATGGTTTGCAGAATAGAGCATTTTCACACGTCATACCTGCACACAATTCATCATAATGTGTATTTATCCATACATCTAAAGGATTTGATGATAATTCAATTAAATCTTGTTTGGCTTCAGTCATCGGTATGATTCGTACATTAAATGATGAAAGGTCATATTGCATAAAATACGTCAGTAAATTATCATAAAATTCCTTTGTGCATGAATCCATTAAATTCTTGAAGTAATCAAATTGACCCTTGAATTTACCATTAACTCTTAAAACTACGTATCTTCTGTCTCCAACTTCAATTTTGACAGGGTAGACGTTGTTAGTTACGAAAATGAAGTTTGCAACGTTCTGTGCTGTTCTTCTGGGTTGATTCTTTTCATTAATTCTAATCTCATTATCCGTTATAATTGATTTCAAAGCGTTGAAGTTTGCGAGTCTGTCTTCACCTACATTCTTGAGTTCATTAAGTACAAGAAACATTTTATTTTCAACTACTGAATTGAAATTACCCGTTAGCTCACTTATTTCGGTAATGTTTTTACATGAATAACCAGCGAGAAGTTCAGAAATAATGTCTGTAAATCTGTTTTTACCTGTTCCCTGAAGTCCTTTCAAAATAATTGCTGTTTCATTCTTGATTCCGGGATGTTGAATCATTGATGCAATCCAGCCGAGAAGGTATTTATACACTTCATCGTTATTATCACAAATGGCTTCTTTAATGAAATTCATAAACATCTCAATTTTTGAGTAATCTGGTTTTTCGAGAACGTTGTATTTATAACCTTGAAACGTTGAGAAAACATCTGGGGAATCAGATTTAAAGCAAACACCCTTAACGGTTAATGAAGACAATTGATTTAGTAGTACATCCCATGCTGTTATGGTTTTACCTTCTTCTTTAAATAATTTAATCATTTTGAGTGACTCTTTCATGTTTGACTGAAGAACAAATGATATTTGATTCATTTTGTCGTGGATATTATAGTCCTTTTGAATGAAATATTTATTTCCACAATCTACAAAACGGATTACACGTGATAAATCCTCAATTACTTCAGAACTGTTTTTATACTGATGATTTTCAGCCTTGCGTCTAATATCTGTTATCAAAAACGAGTCATCAAGTTTGATATCAAATGTTATTTTTGGCTTACGTAATAAAGGTAAAACATATTCATCATAATATTCCTTTTGATAAAGTTTTAGAATCTTCACTAAAACAAATGGAGAAGTCATTAAATGTGCATATCTACTACGTGCTTTTTCAAAATTACTTTTTGCATTTTCTGTTAAACTGCAGAAGTTATAAACGTTATCGTATGCTTCATTAATTAAATGATTAGGTAACGAATTAATAGCTTGAAACAGTGTGAATAATGTAACTTCTTTTTCTAAATTCATGTTTCCACCGTCATTATGTACTTCAAAATCACAGATGCCATCAACTATGCTCTGAGCTAGTTTATCGTCAATGTTTACATCTTTGTTTTCATTCATGATAGTCTTTATTTCTTCGTTCTTCTGTTCAACTCTTACCTTAATATTCAAATCATTTAATATATCGTTTACTGTTCTGGTTAATGTTGAGTCATAACTTCCACGAATGAATGAGTATGTATTGATTGGTTCTGTTGCATTCTTGCGAACTCTTGAATCAGCCATAACCACTAAAGAACGCTTTGAATCATCCATAGAAGTCATTATATCAATATCATAATCATTGCAGGAATAACATTTAATCATTCTGTTCGAAACTGCATAGAAGAAATTAGTGTTGCAATAAATGTGAAGACCTCCTGAAGCGGTTTTAACGATAACATCTTTATCCGAAAGTTTTGATAAAATGTCTTTTCTAACTGTTTCTTTAAGTTCATCATTGTACGATTTATTGATATCAACATCTATAATCGTTAAATTTGATATTTTATTTACTAATAAAGCCATACCAGTTTTCCTTCCTCTTCCTCCATCATGTTTGAGGTAGTTATGTAAATCAATCCTGTTTTCACCAATTCTTTCGTTGAGGGTTTTAGTTTCTGCCACAACTAATTCCTCAGCTAATGAATCAATAACTTTTTCATCAGAAACGATATAGTTGCTGTTGTTGTTTGTTGCTGTCATTTATCTAGGAATAAAAAATAAAAATAATTAAAACTAACTTTATTTTTCTGTCTTAAGGAAATTCATGAAAATTCATGGTTCAAAACTGAATATCATATAACCTCTTGAAAACGTTTAAACGAACTTGAACTTTCTTTCCTTCAGTATCCGTCAAAGTAACATATGCAATTCCTGATTTTAGGAAACAAACATGCATTTTTCTATAGTTAACTCCTGTATAGTAATAGAATGCGTCCTCATTCTCAACATAGTAGTAGAACTCTAAGTCATGCTTTCCATAAGAGTTTATTTCAATTGCTTCGTCAGATATTTCATCAACGAACTCATAAACTATATCACCATACTTGCTTTTATTTCTATTGTTTTCAGATCTAGAACACCAACGAAGGTTTGAGATTCTGTTGTCGTCTCTTTGATGGTTTATATGGTCCACACACGGTAAATTGTTCGGATTGGAAATAAAATGAGTAGCTATGAGAACATGTTTTTGGTACTTTTTGAGGTTTAATGTTACACAAATATAACCTGTTCCTCTGTTATATTCATGTATAATTCTCTTGGTTTCTTTCTTCCTTATTTCAAAAGGCTCAGAACAGTGAATTTCATACTCTTCATCTTGTAAACATTCTTTCCATACATTTTGACCAACAAGTTCAGCGTACATCTGTCTTTACATACAAAATAAAATATATTTTTTTAAAAAACTAAAATATATTTTTATTTCGGGAAAATTCATGACAAAAACATTTACGAAGAAGAAGTCATGACAAAACATTTACGATGAAGAAGTCATGACAAAACATTTACGATGAAGAAGTTTATTTCCTGCTGTGTTGTCAAAATGTCGTGTTGTCACACTTTTTCATAGAAGTTAAATGACCTGGTAGCACATGGTAGCATGGTAGCACCTTCGGTTATTCAAAATTAATTAATAACTACCTTCCTCCTGTGTTGTTGTCAAAATGACCTGGTAGCACATGGTAGCATGGTAGCACCTTCGGTTCTTCAAAATTAATTAATAACTACCTTCCTCCTGTGTTGTTGTCAAAATGTCGTGTTGTCACACTTTTTCATAGAAGTTAAATGACCTGGTAGCACATGGTAGCATGGTAGCACCTTCGGTTCTTCAAAATTAATTAATAACTACCTTCCTCCTGTGTTGTTGTCAAAATGTCGTGTTGTCACACTTTTTCATAGAAGTTAAATGACCTGGTAGCACATGGTAGCATGGTAGCACCTTCGGTTCTTCAAAATTAATTAATTATTGAATAACCTAAAAACCATGAGACTTTGTCTCCGGACTCTTTGAGTTGAAGTTCTGAGGTCATGGGCTTCGCCCTTGCCGCTAGCGGCTTATTTTTGTCAGCAATGAGGTCATTCGTGATAAAAATAAAGCTAGCGTAGATTTTACAATACTGCGATGGTAGAGTTTAAGAGTTGTGCTTCAATGTAGAGACAGTCCTTATGGTCTGGAGGTAAGAACACTGGACATTTATGGTCATGAGTGGAGAACATGTCTATCCAAAACTCACGATTGAAGCCAGTTAATTTATAGTATTTAGGGTTAGGAAGTGGTGAAGTTCTTGTATGACCAATGAACTCATTTTCAACGCCTTTGACTATATTAGAGTAAAGTATTGCTTGCTTTCTATCCCAAATGCCAGGTGTTACAATCTTTGAAAATTCATTTTTCCTCGGAAGCATTGCATCATAATTGAAAACATTCTTAAAATCATCATTTGGTTCAGAGATTTGAAATCTTATACGTAATGGATTTTTTTTCTCTTTAGCGACTTCATTGAATGGTGAGAATACAATGAATTGACAGTCATGAGTTCCATCTTCATTTTCATTAAATTCATAATGAAAGTCTATAAGTTGTGGCTGACTACCTTCTTCTTTCAGTTGTGCAAGAAACTCACGTAAAGGCTGTAAAGTTTGTACTTCAATGTTGAACTTTTTCTCGAACATCTCATTAAATGAAATCATACATTGCAACAATGTTGTATCGTCTTTAAAGTATTTGTATATGTGAATGTTTTGGGCGCTTAAAGACTGTTCGTCATTTTCTATCTCGACTTGAAGTATAAAGTCAACCTTTCTGAAAGCACGTGTTATATACATAGATGTTATGCCAATGTACTTCTCTTCATTTATGTTCACAATCCAGTCTGTTGGAAACTTAAACGTTACTCTGTTCCCCTTTATTTTGACGTCAGGGTTTTCACTACTGAACGCAACAGTTAAAGGTATTTGTCTATACATTTAGTTTGGATAAAAATAAACCATTTACTCTTTCTTTGCTTCAGCTTCTTTAGCTTTTTGTTCTTCCTTTGCTTTTGCTTCTTCTCTAGCTTTTTTCGCCAGCAAACGTGGGTTCTTCTGTCTTCCAGCAGCTAATGCAGCTAGTTGTTTTTCACTAAGTTTTCTCTTTGGTCTCTCTGGCTTTTGTTCTGGTTTTTGTTCCTTCAGTTCGGATAAAATTTGTTCACGAATTTCTTTCTTCAATGCTTCAACATCTATGACCCCTTGGGTCTTGTCCGTAGGGCTTGTCTGAGTCATTTGACTGTAGATAAAAAACTAAATTAAAACTTTAACCGATGTAAAATGAGCTTGTCAAAATCAGAACGAGAGTCTATTATATTAAATGACGCCAGAGGAATACAACATCCTTTCTATTATGTAAGTCAGAGTAAAGATGGTAAAATATATGTAAGAAAAAGAAAGGTTCCATTAGCGAATGCAGAAAGCGACAACATTAAGGTGCATGGCAAGGGTGAAGTCCACGAAGCCCATATAAAACCTTCTGTTCAAACTGAGCCACCAAAAGAACCAGAAGAAAAGAAGCCAGATGTTCTTTCAATAACGAACCAAGAGCTTATTGCAAAGTTCGTGAATTTCATTGAAAAACAAACCGAGTCAAAGAACCCTGACCCGCCAGTGAAAGAAGTTGAGACAAAAGAGAATGTACAGTTCATTGAAAATGTCAAGAAACAACTTCCACGAATACCAAGAAGAAGAGTGAGAATAATGAAGTAAATAGATATTTTTATCTGAAGTAAATACATGCAGAACGAACAGTTAAACGAATTTACTCCAGCAGAGCATATCATCAGATTCGCTCATATTTCGATATCATAGACAATGCAGTTCAAATTGGTGACACTAATAGAAAATATTCTGACGCAAAGATTCCATCACAACCTGGAACTGCTAAAGATAACACATGGGTAACATTCAATCTCTCACCTCCTGGTGAAAATATGTTGGACCTTTACAATACATTCATTACGTATAAAATGGAAGGTCAATTTATTGTAGATAAAGAAATTGGTTCAGGTTCCAATAAAACAAACCCACCAGGATTTTGGATTGGTTTCGATGACGCTTTCTATGCAGTTGCTGGATATCAAATCCTTGCAAATGGTCGTATCGTATATTCTCAAGACAACGCAAGAGAAGAAGCATATATAACTTCAAACTCACAAACTACCGAACAAATAAAGAAAGTAGATGTTTTCTCAAAGACTCGACATGAAGATGTATGGAGTCATTCGGGAACATGCAGAACAGGACAAATTGTTAGCGGTCCAATTACAGCAGGAAAATCATTTGATTTTAAGCTTCGTTTAAGAATTCCTGTTAGAAGATTCCTTCCATTAGAAGCTATTCGATTTATTCCAGCTTTTGCAGGAAACATTCAGCTTAAAGTAAAGTTCAGTAGCGACGCCTTACAATGCACATCTATATCTGTAAATGATATCATTGCTTTCAATCCAACTCTTAAAGTTGCATTTGCTTCAGATTCAAATCCACCGACAAATAAATTTGTTCCATGGAATGAACCATTCACTATGATAACGAAGGCAGTAGAAGCTAGTGGAACAGTTACTATTACAACTGTAACCCAGCAACTATTTCGAACAAAGATGGATTTTAATGAATGTTTCATTCATCCAAAGTCATTCTCTTTAGACCCTAACATTTATACAGAACTTGTAGAACATTATACAAACGAGGCTTTATGTTTTCCTGTTAAAGTTATGGATTGGATTCCTATGGACGGTTCATTCTCAAAGAATACAGATAGTTCAAGTGCAACATTTACAGCAGCTTATACGCCTATTAATGTTAAAAGTATTTGGGCACTATTTAGAAAGAAAGACAACTATTATGTTAATTTTGAGAACCCTAAGTTTAAATATCTTCAGCTTTCCATGGGAGCTTATGGAAATATGCCTGCAGAACCTGAAAAATCATATGGACCTGTATTTTATGAAATGGTTGCGAAGCCTGCAATACAAACAATGATATGATAGGATTTAATGAAGATGTTATGAGGTCATTGGTGGATGATGGTAGTGTGGAACATAAATGGGATAGCTATGACAACACACATTTCTTATGTGGTTTTCCAACAGAAGTGGACTTTTGCTTCCAGCAAGGTCAAACATCTACTGCTCCAATAACATACAAATTGTCTGTTAAAGGACCTATTGAACTAGCAACTGAAAATGTACCAAAGCCACTTATTGGATTTATGAGGGATTGTTGCTTTGCCATTCAGGTGCGTGCTAATGGAATCCCAATAATAAGATTAGATGACTATAACTTAGCTACGGACGACAGTGAGGAATAAAGGATGAACGTTTATTTTTAAAGCTTATAAATGAGTTCTTCATCAAGCTCTCGTGAACCTTCACCATCTATGAAACAAACTTTACCAAACGATTATGGAGCACCTATTGAATATTTCTTACGAGCTGCACAATGGCAAAGAGCAGTCTCACCAAGGTTAGGTGTTCCACCAGCTCCTGTCAAAAATAGCATTTGGTCAAGTCCTTATATAAAATATGGTCTCCCACTAGGTTTGCTAGCTACAGCAGGAGCAGTTATGATGTTGAAAAGAAATAAAGCAAATGTTGTAAATAATACTGAAGTAGCTGAAGTTAAACAAACTCCGACACCATCACAAACAACACCTTCAATGACTCCTGAACCTATGAAAGTACAAACTCCTGTTCAAAAGTCAACTCCTAAACCGACTCCAACATTTAAACCAGAACCTACTCCTCAAATAAATCGTAAAACTCCTGCGTTTCCTTACTGAAAAAATAACGTTATTTTTATTTAATATTAAAATTTTTATTTGATTGAAATGACGACTAAAGTCACTGAAGCAATGAAACAAAAGTTTTTGGTAGAATACATTAAATCAGGAGCGGTTCCAGAAGGTTTTTACGTTCATACTATGAAGGATGGTAGAGTTCAGTTTAGAAAGATAAAGCAACCATTAGATAAAGAAGGAATTTTGAGAAAGATTAAACTTCATGAGGACAACATTGCTGAACTTAAGAAGAAGTTAGAAGAGTTGGAGAAAGGAAGAGAGTTATAAAGTAATGAATTCAACAGGGTGAAAAAACAGGTGAAAAAACGGGTGAGATTTCACCTCTTCACCTAAATTTATTTTTGTGCTATGTTTTCATACGTGTGAGGGTGGTGATATCATTAATTTTAAGTTTATTTTTATTTTATTTTTTATTTTATTTTTATATAAATGACGAAAACTATTGAGATAACAAACTACAACGGTCATGAGTTCAAGAATTTGTTCTTCGTTCCTCGTGAAAATACATTCTATCAGATACGAGGGAGAAAGGGTAAAGTTAGTTTGAGCGTTTATGACTACAAGCATAATGGAAAGTTTATACAAGCATATGATACAAACGGTAAGCGTGTTTCATTAGCTTTGTCAAAACTTACAGGTATAAACTATGACAGTGATTTTGACCTATATGAAGAAGAAAGTGAGTCAGAAGATTATGAGCTGTTATATGAAGCACAGCAATGGGAGGAGTTGCAATCCTTTTGTAAGTGAGAACGTTTATTTTTTTTACATTAGTGAGGTGAAGTGGTTGGCGGCTTTGTAAATATTTAAGGTTAAGTTAGTGTTGTTGTTTGTGTTGTAAAATATACGTTAACGGTTTTGTAAAGTGTCAAATTCACATATCATGGGTAAGGAGGCGTGCAGTGCCGCCGTACCCTTGATATGTATACTAACTAATGAACAAATAAGACCCGCTATGTTTGAGTTAAAGAAAACCATTGACGCTTTAGTTGTTCTAGCAGGTAAGGTTTCAGAATATAACGCAAAAATGAACCCACAATGTTCAAAATGTAAAGCAGCAATGAGGAAATATAACTACTCCGTCAAAGAGATAGAAAGAATGCGAAACGACTATGCAGACTTAAAGAAAGAAGCAGAAAAGCCAGCAGAAGATAAAATGAACATGTTAGAATTTCTTAATAAAAATTATCCAACAGCAGAAGATTTCCTTCTATCTGACGTCAAGAAGAAGTATAAAGAAACTTTCGGCATTGTTAAAACATTCGATGTACTGACAGAAGAAATAGAAGCTACGAAATTGTTTAGAATTTCAAATATACATCGTACAATTCATGTGAAACGCTTGTGAAAAAAGAGGTGAGAAAACAGGTGAAAAAACGGGTGATATCTCACCTCTCACCTAAATTATATTTTTGGTCATTTACACTCATTTACGAAGAAGTTATGACAAAAGCATTTACGAAGAAGTTATGACAAAGCTTCCACGAGAGAAAAGATTCCTCATTCGCTAAGGATTCCAAAAATGAAAAAATCGTTGATTTCGGCTGAGAAAAAACGGCAAAAACCCTTCTTCCACGGGAACAAAGAAATAAAGAAGAAATAAAGTAAATTTTTTATTTATTCCCGTGGAAGATAGAGCACTTTTATGACACTTTTTATTCACGACAAACAAGACAAACAAGACAAACAAAGAAAATAAGAAAATACGGCGCTGTCGCGGTTCGAACCACAGACTCTGACCCCTCCATAACACCACCTTAGACCACTGTGCTACGTAGCCTGTCGACATAAGATATTATAAATTGCATATTTGACGTAAATTTATTTCCATCTAGCTTCCCACCGCATAAGATATTCATACGTGTTTGTAAGACATTCATTAAAATTCTTTTCTATTGCATCTAATCTTGCGTTATTTTTTTCAATAGCTTGTCTGTATTCTTCATCATCTCCAGCAGTGTTTGGGTCTTCACGTTTAAAATATTCATTGTTAACCAATTTTTTATCTACAAATTTTATTAGTGTTTGATTCACTTCGTTATGATAACGGTCATATTCTTTCAATACGTAAGTGAAGACAAAATGCGTCGTACCTTCAATCTTAAAGCTTAAAGAACTTTCAACACAGTTTTGAGGGTCTGTCAGTGCGTCAATGAGATAGTATTCGAAGTCAGTCAATAATCTTTTTAAAGTCATTTCATACAGGATAAAATTTAATGTTGTGAAGAAATAGTGTTTAACACAGAAAAATAAAGTTAGTTTTTATTTTATTTATTTTTTTATCCTGTATGTAAAGACAGATATGTCAACATTAGAGAACACAACAACTGCTATCGTTCATGAAGCCATAAATGAAGAATACGAATACATACAGTATAACAAACAGTTACGTCTCATTCGTTCAGTCAAAGATGATATGTATCAAATGCAAAGTATAATGAACGCTCTTCGTTCTACAAAGCAAGCATATCATTGGTTTGAAAACCAACAGGCAAAAGAACTTTTAGAAGAATTTCCTCATATGATTGCTTCCCTCGGAAAACCGAGGGAAGAGATTCCGTACGAAAATCGCAAGAATTTGGCTCCTGGTTTGAAAGGTTATTATGTTCATAGACTTTTAGTAAATGCTGTAGCAATGTGGGCTTCACCTCGTTATGCTTGTTATATTTTCATGACATTTTGACAACAGTTCAGGAGGAAGGTAGTTATTAATTATTTTTGAATAACCGAAGGTGCTACCATGCTACCATGTGCTACCAGGTCATTTAACTTCTATGAAAAAGTGTGACAACACGACATTTTGACAACACAGCAGGATTAATGCAAAAATAAATTCCAATCATACTTTATAAAGCTAGACCTTCAGGTCTCGCCGCTTCGGTCTGAAAGACCTTCAGGACTCAAAGAGTCCGTTAGCGGCTCATTTACAGGTATTTCATCATCAGTAAATGATTCCTCATTATCGTTTGGTTCAACCTGTTTATATAATCCTTTCATTTCTTCTTTCAAAACATAATACCATGTTTGTTTACCGTCTATTCTTCTATGTTTCCTATCACATTTATCCTTAATACTCATTTGAAAGTTTTTGTCTTTCATGTCTGATGGTTTGCAGAATAGAGCATTTTCACACGTCATACCTGCACACAATTCATCATAATGTGTATTTATCCATACATCTAAAGGATTTGATGATAATTCAATTAAATCTTGTTTGGCTTCAGTCATCGGTATGATTCGTACATTAAATGATGAAAGGTCATATTGCATAAAATACGTCAGTAAATTATCATAAAATTCCTTTGTGCATGAATCCATTAAATTCTTGAAGTAATCAAATTGACCCTTGAATTTACCATTAACTCTTAAAACTACGTATCTTCTGTCTCCAACTTCAATTTTGACAGGGTAGACGTTGTTAGTTACGAAAATGAAGTTTGCAACGTTCTGTGCTGTTCTTCTGGGTTGATTCTTTTCATTAATTCTAATCTCATTATCCGTTATAATTGATTTCAAAGCGTTGAAGTTTGCGAGTCTGTCTTCACCTACATTCTTGAGTTCATTAAGTACAAGAAACATTTTATTTTCAACTACTGAATTGAAATTACCCGTTAGCTCACTTATTTCGGTAATGTTTTTACATGAATAACCAGCGAGAAGTTCAGAAATAATGTCTGTAAATCTGTTTTTACCTGTTCCCTGAAGTCCTTTCAAAATAATTGCTGTTTCATTCTTGATTCCGGGATGTTGAATCATTGATGCAATCCAGCCGAGAAGGTATTTATACACTTCATCGTTATTATCACAAATGGCTTCTTTAATGAAATTCATAAACATCTCAATTTTTGAGTAATCTGGTTTTTCGAGAACGTTGTATTTATAACCTTGAAACGTTGAGAAAACATCTGGGGAATCAGATTTAAAGCAAACACCCTTAACGGTTAATGAAGACAATTGATTTAGTAGTACATCCCATGCTGTTATGGTTTTACCTTCTTCTTTAAATAATTTAATCATTTTGAGTGACTCTTTCATGTTTGACTGAAGAACAAATGATATTTGATTCATTTTGTCGTGGATATTATAGTCCTTTTGAATGAAATATTTATTTCCACAATCTACAAAACGGATTACACGTGATAAATCCTCAATTACTTCAGAACTGTTTTTATACTGATGATTTTCAGCCTTGCGTCTAATATCTGTTATCAAAAACGAGTCATCAAGTTTGATATCAAATGTTATTTTTGGCTTACGTAATAAAGGTAAAACATATTCATCATAATATTCCTTTTGAAAGTTTTAGAATCTTCACTAAAACAAATGGAGAAGTCATTAAATGTGCATATCTACTACGTGCTTTTTCAAAATTACTTTTTGCATTTTCTGTTAAACTGCAGAAGTTATAAACGTTATCGTATGCTTCATTAATTAAATGATTAGGTAACGAATTAATAGCTTGAAACAGTGTGAATAATGTAACTTTCTTTTTCTAAATTCATGTTTCCACCGTCATTATGTACTTCAAAATCACAGATGCCATCAACTATGCTCTGAGCTAGTTTATCGTCAATGTTTACATCTTTGTTTTCATTCATGATAGTCTTTATTTCTTCGTTCTTCTGTTCAACTCTTACCTTAATATTCAAATCATTTAATATATCGTTTACTGTTCTGGTTAATGTTGAGTCATAACTTCCACGAATGAATGAGTATGTATTGATTGGTTCTGTTGCATTCTTGCGAACTCTTGAATCAGCCATAACCACTAAAGAACGCTTTGAATCATCCATAGAAGTCATGATATCAATATCATAATCATTGCAGGAATAACATTTAATCATTCTGTTCGAAACTGCATAGAAGAAATTAGTGTTGCAATAAATGTGAAGACCTCCTGAAGCGGTTTTAACGATAACATCTTTATCCGAAAGTTTTGATAAAATGTCTTTTCTAACTGTTTCTTTAAGTTCATCATTGTACGATTTATTGATATCAACATCTATAATCGTTAAATTTGATATTTTATTTACTAATAAAGCCATACCAGTTTTCCTTCCTCTTCCTCCATCATGTTTGAGGTAGTTATGTAAATCAATCCTGTTTTCACCAATTCTTTCGTTGAGGGTTTTAGTTTCTGCCACAACTAATTCCTCAGCTAATGAATCAATAACTTTTTCATCAGAAACGATATAGTTGCTGTTGTTGTTTGTTGCTGTCATTTATCTAGGAATAAAAAAATAAAAATAATTTTAAAACTAACTTTATTTTTCTGTCTTAAGGAAATTCATGAAAATTCATGGTTCAAAACTGAATATCATATAACCTCTTGAAAACGTTTAAACGAACTTGAACTTTCTTTCCTTCAGTATCCGTCAAAGTAACATATGCAATTCCTGATTTTAGGAAACAAACATGCATTTTTCTATAGTTAACTCCTGTATAGTAATAGAATGCGTCCTCATTCTCAACATAGTAGTAGAACTCTAAGTCATGCTTTCCATAAGAGTTTATTTCAATTGCTTCGTCAGATATTTCATCAACGAACTCATAAACTATATCACCATACTTGCTTTTATTTCTATTGTTTTCAGATCTAGAACACCAACGAAGGTTTGAGATTCTGTTGTCGTCTCTTTGATGGTTTATATGGTCCACACACGGTAAATTGTTCGGATTGGAAATAAAATGAGTAGCTATGAGAACATGTTTTTGGTACTTTTTGAGGTTTAATGTTACACAAATATAACCTGTTCCTCTGTTATATTCATGTATAATTCTCTTGGTTTCTTTCTTCCTTATTTCAAAAGGCTCAGAACAGTGAATTTCATACTCTTCATCTTGTAAACATTCTTTCCATACATTTTGACCAACAAGTTCAGCGTACATCTGTCTTTACATACAAAATAAAATATATTTTTTTAAAAAACTAAAATATATTTTATTTCGGGAAAATTCATGACAAAAACATTTACGAAGAAGAAGTCATGACAAAACATTTACGATGAAGAAGTCATGACAAAACATTTACGATGAAGAAGTTTATTTCCTGCTGTGTTGTCAAAATGTCGTGTTGTCACACTTTTTCATAGAAGTTAAATGACCTGGTAGCACATGGTAGCATGTAGCACCTTCGGTTATTCAAAATTAATTAATAACTACCTTCCTCTGTGTTGTGTCAAAATGACCTGGTAGCACATGGTAGCATGGTAGCACCTTCGGTTCTTCAAAATTAATTAATAACTACCTTCCTCCTGTGTTGTTGTCAAAATGTCGTGTTGTCACACTTTTTCATAGAAGTTAAATGACCTGGTAGCACATGGTAGCATGGTAGCACCTTCGGTTCTT